AAAAAAAAAAAAAAAAAACGATTCGTCCCAAGTAAGCGATACAAAGTGGAGCATCACTTCCAGTAACACTTCCGGTGCCTGCAAATACAATAATACAATAATCCCATTTCGCTTTTCTCGTTTCTCTTGCCGAGTATTTTTCATTGCAACGTGCAACAACGATTGCACAACCCGCGATTTTCCTTCCGTCCTCGTTTCCGTTTCTCGTTCTGTTTCCTCGACAAATAAACCAAGCCGATCTTGGAAATTGCAGGTGCACCCGTGCGGACGATACCGGCACAACACGGTTGTATTCATTCTGGCGAAGGAGTACAACCTGAAGAATCTGAGGACAATCCACAGGCTGGACCGACTGACCAGCGGTATTCTCCTTTTCGGTAGAACGCCGAAAAAGGCCAGGCAGATGGAGCACCAAATAAGAAACAGACAGGTTCGTTTCGTAATGGCGATACGACGTGAGGGGAACTTGTTCGATCCACGGGATTTTTAATAAATTCTGTAATTCGAGGACTGTGGAAACCGTGCGTGCGAAGCTAAGATCTAATTGGGGAACGTTATAGCTAGAGCTTGGATGAGAAAGAGAGAAGAAAAGAGATATGTAGATGATATTTTATGTTTTGTAGAGAGACTCGCGAAAGAAATTCACGAGGATTCGAGTTTCAACAATTTGTTTTAGAAAATGAATTGAAGCCCTAAATTGAATCGAGCAAGAAAACTCTCATATTTTCGTAAAGAGTTGAAAACAAGCCTTTTTGACCAGTCAGATAGTTTTAGTATTATTATTCTTTGTTTATCTTTATAGAGATAGAGATAATATTTCTTACAAGATATCTTCATTCGCGAGATTATTCTACCATTCTTTGTTGTTCGTAAAGAACAATTAAATTCTCCGTGAGAATCTAAAGAAGAATCTAAAGAAACGTGGAATGACGCAAATTCTCATTGCAGGTTCACAAACAATACGTTTGCCGAGTGGAAGGCGAGTTCCCCGAGGAGGAGGTGGTCTGTTCCGAACCGATCGAGGTGGTGTCGTACAAGATCGGAGTGTGCAAAGTCTCCGAGAAAGGAAAGGACTGCGTGACGCGTTTCAAGCGTCTGAGTTACAACGGCAAGTCCTCGGTGGTGCTGTGCAAGCCTCAGACGGGACGAATGCATCAAATCCGTGTTCATCTGCAATACCTGGGCTACCCGGTGGTAAACGATCCTCTCTACAACCACGTGGTATTTGGCCCGGAGAAAGGAAAGGGCGGCAACATCGGGAAGACCGATCAGGAGCTGGTCAGAGATCTGATTAGCATTCACAACGCGGAGAATTGGCTGGGTATGGACGGGGACTCGGAGATGAGTCTGTTCAAGCCGAAATTGGACATGGAGGAGCGCGTTTCGTTGAGCAACGATAAGGACGGCTCGTCTCCATCGTCGACGCCTGGCCTGGGCGAGGAGGAACAGCAACAGCAACAGGAACAGTCGCTGAAGGTGACGGTAGGCACGCAGACTGGCTCGGAGCCGCCGGATTCTAGTTTCACGAACGACAAGATGACGGTGGATCCGCACTGCTACGAGTGCAAAGTGAAGTACAGAGACCCGAAACCATCCGACTTGGTCATGTATCTGCACGCGTGGCGTTACTGCGGTCCGGGCTGGGAATACGAGACGCCGCTTCCAGCCTGGGCAGCCAGCGATTGGACCGAGGAGGACCGATAGTTCCGGTCCACCGAGCATCGAAACGAGCTGTCACCACCCTTCGTACCCCTTTTTGATATCCTTACCCCGTGCCTTCCATCCGCCAGCCAGCGATCTCGACCATCGTACATGTACCCATCCCTGTGACCAGGTCGCTGGACTCGCGAACAAATGGGAGACCTCTCGGTTGGCCCGTCACGCGCCTCGTCTGCGCTGATAATCGAGGCTGCTCTTCGCGCTGGACGAATCGCGAATTCGCGAATTCTGTCGGGATCGTTTCCAGAATGACTCGGAATGAATGGCAGGTGTCTACCCATCAGTGGTATCATCATCCCCGTGGCGTTCTCGATAGCGTTCGCAGATCATAAAAACGAGGAAGATTGATCGATGGCGAGGTATGATCGTTGCTGAACGTTAACTGGCTTGAGACGGATCGAATGTTTGCGTGTGCGAGTCTGCAGGTGTTCCGGCGAGAATCTTCCGGGGAACATTTCGCGCCGTCCTCGATCCCTCACGCGTTCATCCGCATTTTTCTCCGCGGCACGATTGATCTAGGTCGAGGAGCTGCTCGAGGCAGAATACTCTCCTCGCGAGTTAGTTATCTCTTACGTATTATATAATTTATCGATCGTTGATATCAGTCAAATTGACACGAAGCGAATCTACGTTGTAGATTGCAGAGAAGAGAAAGAAATTGTGTTATTTAAATCTCTGATTTAGAATAACGCAACATCGATTGGAATCGGCGTGGTTCGATATAAATTGATAAATGTCCCATATGGAAAAGTATAGATTCCCGTTCAGGATGCACGGATGAATCGCGTAAAAGAATCGAGGCATCAGCCTGGCACGGGGCGATGGAACGAT